TGCGGTGAAGCAAAGCCGGCCCCCTTCCATCCTACATCACTTAATAATAGTTAGGCAGTCTCTAAAAAGAGGACAACTAAAACAACAACAACAACAATGAACACAAGTTTTTAAAATTTTGGTTTTTTATTAATGTGAAAAATCACGCACGGGGGTTTTCTCCCATACGGGTAACATGGCGTTGAGCAGAAAGAAAGGAAAAGAACAAGAGAAAGAGATAGCAAGTGTGTGTTAGGCCTTTGCCGACTGAGTTACGACCAACTATGCTTAAACCGCACTTTTGATGTTTGAATCTGCAAACGTCGACTTGTTACTGGCACCTCCTATCTACTCGGTTATGCGGCAATTGCCTTCTACGAGAAGAATCCCCATACCTTTAATCGATGTGGCGAAACTTTACTATACCCAGCTTGTTTGCCAAAGAACTCAATATAATTTCTCTTTTCCTCGTCATAAAATATGTATGTACCAGTAGATCTCTTTGCCATAAAATGGACTGATTTTTATAAAAATTCTTATACGGAAGGAAGTCCGAAAATGGACCGATGTGGTCCAAATGTAGTACAATAAAATTTTTATACTGAATTACTTACTATTCCGAATCAATTTTCATCATAAAATACTACAAGATAGATAGATCTAATTGACATATTGAATGCATGATTGCATAGATAGCCGAGTAGTATCAAGTGGACATGGTTAGAGCATTAGTGCTTAGTCGACAAAAGCATTATTGATTGTGTCGCGGCTATTTTCCTATCTCTTTCTTTTTTCTCACTTCCTTCCGAACATTCCCCCAATGATTGGTAATAAAAGGAAAAAGTATATATGAGAAAAAAGTCAAAAAATAATCCTCTTACGAACATTATGTTTTTAATGATTTCTTTCTCGCAGAATTCTAAAAATGAAAATTTTTTTCTTGTAAAAAATTTATTCAATATGTAGCTTTTTACTAAGAAGTCCTCTTCGGGTTTAAGACTACACATGGGAGAGAGACAAAGAGAGACAGGCAGAGAGAGAAAGAAAGAGAAAGAGAGAGAGAGAGGGAGAGAGAGAGAGACAGAGAAAAATAAACGGGGACTCTTGCTTAAATCGATTTACAGAGAGGTTTTGAAACAAATGGTATAACAAGAAATGAACCGATTTTAGGTTGTTCTGGGTACTGCATATATGCACCTCAACTTAATATAATCAAGTAGTAGTAAAAAGAAAACATTTGCATTAATTAATGTTTCAAAGTTTTAATATTTTTTCGGACAATGTGACAGAGATTTTTGCTATTTCGCCTTATTACTGTGGCCCAAGCGAAGGAATTTTTCCAAATCTATGATGAACAGAACTTCTTTGCGCAGAGTCAACAATGTTGTGTATTTCTCGGCGCGGCAGACGTCTGCCTACTACGTAATGAAATCAAAGAAAAAAGTGTTAAGTCGTTTCAGAGAAAAAATCGACTTTTGCAAGAAAGTCCTTATAACAAGACAATTTTTATAACTGTCTTCCCTTCCCTTTAAAATTTCATTTTATCAAATTTTGTTAGTTAACAGCGAGACAATGCACGCTTCAGAAACTTTTTCAAATTATCGACATTTTAATGAAAATTCATATAGGGTCGCCATAACATTAGTCGCGTTAGGGTCCTATCTCAATAAGTCCACTGTTCCGTGCCAATAGAACACTAACGGGATCGAAATGAAGAAAATTTAAAGAAAATAGAAGAATAGAAGAGGAATAGAAAATAAAAAAAAAAAAGAAAACCTATCACACATCCTCACACATAACATTTCGCTCGTTTCTTAAACCAACCAAGACAACGAACGAAAGCAATCAAAAACGAACTTCCGTAAGGGCTCTCTGCATAACAGTCGTATGCACACTAAACTCATGTCAATTTTCTTGGCTGAGAAGTGCGTTATGAATGATTTGGAAGAAGACTGCGCTATGCATGGCGCACTGATTTAAGCAAAGCTTTTAATAGAATTGATCGCAAACTATTATATTATGGAAATTGTGTCGCTTAGGTTCTCCTCCATATTTTATTGATTGACTAGCCCCCTTTTTATTGATTGGCTATCCTCCTTTTGGGTGCTCTTCAACTCTTATCAATCTAATGAGATTCTTGGCACTTCAGGTCTCTCCCAAGGGAGTCACTTGGGATTGATTCTGTTTATTCTATACATCAATGATCTCCCTTTAGCAATTGATTCTGCCAATATCCTAATGTACGCAGATGAAGACAAATTTAGTCATGTCTCCTCCAAGCTGACGTAAATAATATGGTACCGTAGTGTTCCCTCAATTTTATGGGGTTAACCCACAGAGAATGCGAGATACCCTTATTTTCGGGGCGGAACTTGTTCGCAACGGAATATTTTATAGATTCACTCAAGCTGGAGATCTGGTGGATTCAATTCTCGACTTAGGTATCTTGTTTCAATAGCTAAACTTCGATTCAATTTGCACGCTGAACAGTCTATGGATAGAGCTAGATCAGTGTTAGGCTTCATTAAACGCTTATCGAGAAATTTTGACGACCGATAGGTGACGAGAAAACTGTAAGGCAGCTAAGGACGCCTCGGTCGTATGGTCACCTTCATATCGTCGTCGAATTAGGTGGAATCTTTGCAGAAGAAGTTTTTGCTTTCGGTTTAAGAGATTTGTGTTGCGATCCAAGGGTTTTCCTACCTCCTTATGAATATAGATTGCTACTTACAGTCTTACCCGCCACTTAGGCATTACTTTATGATAAAGCTGATTAATGGAGCCACTGATTCGCCGTTTTTGTTAAGTGCGATGAATTTTAATGTTCCTGTCCGTCCGACAAGGAACTTTCTTTGCGTTAAACTCAGCCAACGCTAGCATTTTAATCCGCTTAGGCTTCCCTGTAGCAATCTAATTTACTTACCAGATCCTGTTACTTCTTTTTAATGCCGGTGCACTGCCACCGTTTTCCATAAACTAATAATAAAATCGTGTTATTCGGAATTCTAAGACGGAGTTTGACGGGTAATTGATAGACACATTGTTTATTTTCTTATATGTTTGTATTAATGGTCTGTTATTTTAAGACTTTTTCTACTTGAATTGCAATTGAGTTAGGGTCTTCAAGTGTATGAATTGCGTAATTTAGGTGAATCTTGACCTTAGATAAATTTAACAAAGAACAAAGAACCACGTTACCTTTCTGTCCACTCCAGTTCTTGCCTTCCTTCCTGTAAAGCATCCAACATTACCTTTTATATGCAAAATATTAACCGACTATAGTACGCTTTCGAATTTGAATTGTCTGCGTGGACTTAGTGTCGACTAACTTTACTTTTCATTTTGATTTTTCGCTAAATTTGACGTTACGTAAGCAAGAAGAAAATTCAGGCTATATGTACTTAGAGTTATGCTCTAATCTCTGCCTGCTCTGATCATCGTAGATAGATATAAAATTTTATTTATTTAATAATTACATGAAATAAAAAATGTAATTAAAGTCAATAAATAAAATGCTTTATAGCATATCTGACCTTATTAATGCTTTGTTAAAAGTGATTGAAGTGTACTTTAAATTAAGCAAGAATAATGCAATTCAATGAATTCGATTATTAACTTCAAACAAAAAAAAAAAAGAAAACAAAAAAAATTATAGAATTTGCGCATCATTTTGTGTGTATGCGTGTGTGTGTATTTTTCATAACCACAATTCAATGCACAAGAGCACACACAAACACATACAGTTGGGTACAAGTTTACAAGTTTAACCGTTAAGAAAAGTAAGCAAATGATGAAACTGTTAAATAACCAGGGAAGCGTTTAATAACATAAACTCGGACACACACGCGCGTGCATACATACCGCAAACACTGAAACCACAACAGAAAGTGATTTGTGAATAAACACCTATTTATTGGACAACTATGTGCATGTGTATATATATATATGTATATATATACATGTATATACGAAATTTTTCCGTTAAGTTAATTAATTAGTGAAGTGTGTAATGTGCATGCGATACATCGATCCGAATGAGTACAGATATGTATACATGTGTGTATCTCTGTGTGTGTATGTGTGTGTGTGTGTTTATGTGTAATACACACAGTAACCCACTATTCAACTGGAAGTGTAATTAAGGTGGAAAATTTACATTAAAATGCAATGATATGTGAAAAATTTTCTTTTTTTTGTTTTTTTTTTTATATTTGAATAATAAAATTTAAAAATAATTTTTTTATTGAAATTTAAAGATATGTATTATTAACACTACGCCGCAAAGTAATAGTGAATTTGGTTTGTTTCTCTAAAAGAAATTATATAAGAAAATATATTGTGCAACGGTTTGTATGATTAACATAAAACAGAACATAAGGGCTTACGGTTTGTATGAGTAATTCAGTAATTGACAAGAACAAATAAATAAAACTGTATTCACTTTGAGAAAAATCTGGGACAACAACCCATATCATCATAGCGGACGCATAAATATTTCGCTTGGTTTTGTAAAGCAAGGACATGCCTCTGAAGCGATTAGCATTACTTAAGATAATAAATGCATGAAAGAAAAGCAAAATCAATATTTATTCGATCTTAGCAACAGCATTTTGTGCGTTGATTTTAGTTTTTGAGTTAATGTGGGCGTGTTTTGCAGACAGATCATATACTTATTCAAATGTCATATTTGCTAATCAAGGGAAAATAACGCCCGCTCAACTTACACCTTTTAAATTTTTCTTTGTCAACTTGAAACGAATGCTACTCACACTAGACCGACGGACACACTTTTCAAAATAGCAATCTTACGCTAATCAAAATTACGTACATACATCAGAAAGACTTTTATACGCTATGTATAATGAACGTGCCCTGCCTTCAATTACAAATACACAGTATATATATATATATATATATATATAAGGTTCGGGAAAAAGAAATCTATTATTGTTACGTAAACTTCAAGACTTTATTTCGAATTACCAATTTTTTTCCCCAATGTAATATTAAAAAATACTTACAGTTTATAAGTGAGGGAAAGGAAACCAACTCTCGTCGATTTCTATTTCTCAGGTAAAGCTGCAATGAGAAACGCAAAAAGGAGATTGTTTTAAAGGCAATTTAGTTAAGAACGTTTGTGGAAAAAATTACTTAAATTTTTTATAAATGCTATGCAAATAGTATTGAAATTTATTGAAAAGAGGAAACTATAACTTTCAGGTAAAACTTAGTGTAAAACCCGATAGTGCTAAGTACGAATGGTAACAAAAAATAAAGAAAAAAAATTTTCTTTTTTTATTATAATCCCTACCAAAAAGTGCAGGTATATTAGGTATGTTGTCATTTCATTCCAGCAATCAGAGACGGCCCTCAATTTATTTTACATATTCATCATAAACATAAGCATACATACTAACTGACAAGTGCGTGTGTAAGTTTTATTTTTTTTGAAATTTTTTTCGTACAAAAACTAATAATAGGTTTCGTTGTTGAAAACTACGTTAATGAGTTGCCCCTTTGCTCATTCGTTTTTAGGCAAATTAGGAACAAAATTGCGTTCGTACGCCATCACATGGTGCCTAAAGTGATGCGGGAGCTGAATCGCACGTGAATAATCGTTTGTACTCGACTCAGGCCTTATCAGTTGCTCGCAGATGATCCAGGGAATTCTCCGCATTAACCTTCCAGAAAAGTCTTAGGTTGTCATTACCAAATTGAAAACAGAATATGAATGAATATCAGCAAAAACTTTTTCGGATTTGTATCCTTTCAAATAAATTTCTTGGCCTTGACACCTTCATTTACTTGGAAGCCCCAGCACAAGCCGCAGCGCTTCATATGCGCTTAACATTCAATCTACATATAGGACTTGAATTGCGAATGATGGCTAGAAAGCTCAAGCGACCTGAAAAAAACCTTTCAACGCTTTTTCATCCATAAACGCTAACACATAACAAATACTAATCGAAAGCGGGTTTACTAGCTAGAGATCTTTAAGTTCAAAAGTGGCGATCGAAAGTCATGTACATAATTAACTTCATTTTACCTGAGTTTGGGGGCCCAAAGGGCAAGGACGCTTACTAAACCCAGAATGCATTAAAGGCGATTCTATAAGGTATTGACACACTTTCGATCATCGTCAGATTCTAAGAAGTAATGCAGCGTTGACTACATTCTTTTTTACATTGTTTTTAATCGTTTTAAATTTAAAAACATCCGCCTGAGTGGCCGAGTAGGCAAGAGTCTCGACTATCAACTCAATGGTCGTGGGTTCAAATCTCAAGTGCGGTAGAGTTTTTAATAAAGCCGAAAGCCTTAGATGCTAGTGATTTAAGACTTTAGTCTTAGAATTTATTCTCTGGCTAAGTTTATAATAATAATAATAATAATAATAAATTTAAAAATTTAAAAGCCGATAGCCTGTGTTGCTAGTGCTCAATGTCTCTTTTTTTAGTCTAAGAATTCAATTCATTAGTCTAAAATTAAAATAATAATAATAATAAAAACAAGTAATAACATTTCAGTCGGGCAAAACCGACATTTAAATACCCTACATCTCATTGTCCAACAAAATTTTTTTTTTTTTTGTATTAAATCACTACTATGGGTCAATTTTCATTACCACATATTAAACTTCAGACTTTCCTGCCCGACAAAGCATCAATCTGAAAATCCTTATTAGGATAGAATCCAAAAAATACCGAGATGGTCTTAATTTGGTTCAGTTAATTTTTTTATGTTAAATTACCATTATGATATAATTTGCATCATGAAGCATTGAAAATTGTACCTTTTTTGTCGTAAGAACATCAGTTTACGTTATATGAGAGGGGTTTCAACAATTGCCCGATCCGGAGCAAAGTTTTCATACCAATATGGAATGCGGAAATACTACTACTTGGCCACTTTTGCTAGGAAATTTTGAAAATTGCAATTTTGTTCGAGTAGTCGAAAAAGTAGGCCGATCCGAACTATTTTCCGTAGCGTTCGTCCTTGCGTCAAAATACGTGAATGTAACAAATTTCATCCGAATATCTCAAAAATTGCGACCTGTAGCTTGAACACAATCTTACATGGACAGACAGACGGACGGATGGACAGCTTTAAATGAATTCGGAAAATGATTCTTAATCGATCGGTAGAATAAATGGTGGGTCCATGTTGGCCCTTCTGCGATCTGTAGCTTGAACACAAACTTACATGAACAGACAGACGGACGGATGGACAGCTTTAGATGAATTCGGAAAATGATTCTGATCCTATCGGCATAATAAACGGTGGGTCCATGTTGGCCCTTCTGCGACCTGTAGGTTGAACACAACTTTACATGGACAGACAAACGGATCGACGGACAGTCTTAGATGGATTCGGAAAATGATTCTGATGCGATCGGCATAATAAATGGTGCGTCCATTTTAATCTCTCCTGCATGTTACATACGTCCGCAGAAAGCGAATATACTCCGTACCACAAGTGTTGTAAAACATAATTACCTACAATAGTCAATTGGCTAAGGTTTTAAGTGTAAAATATTCGACCAAAGTCGAACCTTTTTAAATATCTTTTCCTTTCGTTTTTTCGTAATTTATTACTTAATAAAAGCATTATATAAACTTAAACGTTATATGCCTGCATAAATGCCTAACTACATATCCATATCCATGCTTTCCATAGACATTCTTTGCATGTGCAGTTGAAAGGTGATCTAATTATTTTTAAGCAATTTTTACCAATATCTGACGTACATTTTTATACTTACATAATATGCATATAAATGCTTACTTTATATGTATATAAATTTTTACATATATATATATATATAT